ATCGGTATTGGTGCCGATATCAAGTACTCGCCCAAATGCTCTGATACCTTCCCCGATACCAGAACTTCCGGTTAGAGGAAGATTCCCTCTGACCGGCATTGCCATAAGGGAACATGGAGCCACCTTCCCGTGCAATCAGGAAGCTGGGCAGCGAGTAATGACTGGCCTCCCGGCTTCCTGATTGTCCGGGAAGCCGGCTCCATGCTGCTTGGCCGGGAAGCCGGCTTCCCAGCCAAAGAGCATTGAGCCGGCTTCCCAGCCAAACAGCATTGAGCCGGCTTCCCAGCCAAACAGCATTGAGCCGGCTTCCCAGCCAATCAGGAAGCTGGAAGCCGAGTCAGTACTCACTGCCCAGCTTCCTGATTGCCCAGGAAACCGGCTCAAACCGCATTGAGCTGGCTTCCCAGCCAATCAGGAAGCTGGAAGCCGAGTCATTACTCACCGCCCAGCTTCCTGATTGGCCAGGAAGCCGGCTCGATGCTGATTGGCAGGGAAGCCAGTTTCCCGGCCAAGCGAAATCAAGTCGGCCAGACAACATGGAGCCTGCTTCTCGGGCCCGGGAAGCTGGCTCCATGCCAGTGAAAGCACCGGTTTTGGTACTCGGTATCGATGAGTACCGAAAGCAAAATATTGGTATTCGTTACAGAAAAGCCTTATTGGTGCATCCCTGATTATCACCAATTATTTTGTGCACTTATTGGACAGATATAACAAAATTCGGGTCAAAGGTGACCGGTTAAGAGCAGTTTATTGTCAGCGTTTACATACTCATCAATAAGACGCAGAATGAGGACACTTTGTCCGCTGCACAGTACTGGTTTATGAGTAGACGGGGAGGATTGGTGAATTACGGTGCATACGGTTATGGAATCCTTAGGGTTGTGTTCCTCCACACTGACCATCACACCTACCACGCCTTTCTTTGTTCCCGCAGTCACATCGGTGATCGGATCTCTGGAATATGGTAATATCACCAAACTCCTGGAAGGTGCCGAGCTTTGGAAGGACTCACAAAAACATTCGGTGAAACTTGTCTCGCCTGTGGTCAGCGTCTTCCTTGGGATTGCCAAAACTGATAACCTCGATCAGCCCGTTCAGCTGAGACTTAACTTCAGTGACAAGGTGAGGGTTAGGAGAAGAGGGGTGAGAGCTCTGAGGGTAGCATATGGACCTCAAAGAGGTGGGGCAAGTGATATACTCTACAAGGGTATTAGAGGCACCGTCACCTTGCCCATGAAGGGTGAAGTGACATCGTCTCTGGAGAGGCCCCCTGATTGCCCTATGCCCAACTCACCAGCACCCAGCCACGTCTTCCTTCTCTGCAGCCAGCATAGGTAGCATGGGCAACGTCACCAACCCGAGATAATGTCACCTCCCTGGTCATGCGACAGTGTGCTTTGGCCCAGCATATGTCTGCTAGACCCAAGCACTATCACAGGGAAGGAGGTCACATGCTCCTCCATACCCAGAAGTGGTGGGTATTGTGACAGTAAAGTGGTGTCAGTAGGGGTGAGGTGAGGTGGAAGCCCAGGATTGGCAGGGGAACGGTGGGGTGGAAGCCCAGGATTGGCAGGGGAATGGTGGGGCGGAAGCCCAGGATTGGCAGGGGAATGGTGGGATGGAAGCCCAGGATTGGCTGGGGAACGGTGGGGTGGAAGCCCAGGAATGGCAGGGGAACGGTGGTGTGGAAGCCCAGGAATGGCAGGGGAACGGTGGGGCGGAAGCCCAGAATTGGCAGGGGAATGGTGGGGCGGAAGCCCAGGATTGGCAGCGGAACGGTGGGGTGGAAGCCCAGGATTGGCAGGGGAACGGTGAGGCGGAAGCCCAGGATTGGCAGGGGAACGGTGGGGCGGAAGCCCAGGATTGGCAGGGGAACGGTGGGGTGGAAGCCCAGGATTGGCAGGGGAACGGTGAGGCGGAAGCCCAGGAATGGCAGGGGAACGGTGGGGTGGAAGCCCAGGATTGGCAAGGGGACAGTGGGGTGGAAGCCCAGGATGGATTAGCTATGCCCAAAGTACTTTGGTAGAATTAAAACAGAAAAGAAATTGGTTTTCTGCCAGTTAATGGGGACAAATTGGTGATTGTTTTTGACCAGAGTGATGAAAAAAAGCTAAGGAGCAAGATGGAAATGTTTTTTGACTGAAGAAGATTCTAACCAGGGATGGACTGATACCAATACTAGTATTGGTGTAGGTGCCGATACAGAGTATTTGGGCGGGTACTCGCCCAAATGCTCCAAAGCTTACCCCTGATACCGGAATTTCCGGTCAGAGGGAGATTTCCTTTGACCGGCAGTGTGACAAGGGAACATGGAGCCAGCTTCCCGGCCAATCCGGAAGCCGGGCAACGGGCAATGACTCACTGCCCGGCTTCCTGATTTGCCGGGAAGCTGGCTCCATGCTGTTTGGCCAGCTCCATGCTGATTGGCTGGGAATCCAGCTTCCTGATTGGCCGGGAAGCCAGCTCCATGCTAGCAGTAGTACTGGTATCGGTACTCGGCATTTGCAAGTACTGAAAGATAAATATCGGTACTCGGTATCGGTGCGTCCCTAAAACTAACAGTGAATTAGATTTTCGTTTTGGAAACTTCATTGATTCCAAAATCGAATGTTAAAAATCAAACAAAATTTAAAACAACAAGTCTCTGATGGCATTATTGAATGTTCTGACCAGATTATTTTCTATAAAAGTTCATATAAAATTCTAACCCTGTACTTCCTCACCAATGAAACCGCAAAACTACTCATCCACTCCCTTGATATCTCTCGTCTTGACTATTGTAACTCCCTCCTCTTTGGCCTTCCACTACACAAACGATCCCCCCTTCAGTCTATCATGAATGCAGCTGCTAGACTCATCCACTTGACCAACCGCTCAGTGTCTGCAACCCCCCTCTGCCAATCCCCCCACTGGCTTCCAAACCGTCCACTCTGCTCATCCCAAGACCTCCTGCATTCCAGCTCCCTAGTCAACTCCTCCCATCTTGTCTTGAATTGTATTGTGATTGTAATGTCTTCCTTATATTGTAAAGCTCTGCGCAAACTGTTGGCGCTATATAAATACTATGTAATAATAATAATAATAATATACCCATGGACGTCAATAAAATCAATATATGCCAATTGCTATTGTAATATCACATTATGTCCACTATGTGGCACTGTGGAGCATAGAAAATCAATACCATTCGCTGTGCTCCTTTAGCTCCATCTTGTGGCCATAATGCAGTATTACATTGGAAAAAAAACCTAAAGAACGTTCACTTTGGCATATATTCGCACACAGATATCCGCGGGACGAACAGCCCTGGGAAATGTTTATAAATAGACCCCTATACCTTGCAAAAGGTAATACAGCAAACCCAAAGGAACACAAGGGCGCACAATTTTGCAGATTAGGAATGTAGCTTGCAGAGCAGTCAGCTGTACAAAAAAAACACCAGCAAATTAGCACATAGTTTGTGCCACCTCAGTTTGTTTACTTCCTCTGGGAATGGAGTGTTGGAGGTAAATCGGATTACCTGCTCTGTGTTTTCCAGTTGCTGCAGTTCAGCAGACAGTTGAAGGACACACAGTCCCCGGGGGGGCTGCACTATGACACGTTGTATTCCATGACATACGATGGTTGTAATACAAATGTATCCTGAATAAAGATTTTCTCTATTTCCTAACAAGGTGACATCGAACGAGACGCACTGTGCCTTCTGGTCCGTACCAAATGCCACCTGGAGCACTAAAGATTGTGTGACGCTTGAGAGGAACGAGGATGGCATTGTCTGCAACTGCACCCATTTAACCAGCTTTGCCGTCCTAATGGCTCTGAAGGACATACAGGTGAATAGCTCTGCACTGTACACCGTGATAGGTTGTGTTAGAACTACAGCCTGGGAGCTCTGGCTCCTCCAATATCGGAGGTCCTCATACTGTTGTAGATCTGGAGTATCAAGGTTGCATATTAGTAGGTTGGGCCACATGTGGACTCCTCCCATCGTTGTATCACACATGAAGCCAAGGTTACTGAATATTGTCACCGCACTTTGCTCTACCTTATTAAAGGAAACCTCCATTGGATGAAATATGGGGCCGCCAGTGTTGACTTCCTTCTGAAAATATTAACATGGCTGTTTGAGGTCCATGCAAGACCACACATGAAAGGGTGACAACGCTTACATAGTGCAGTACAGTGCATATCTTCTCCTGAGGGTAGAATAGAAACCTTGGACAACCAATACCTACACATTCTATGGTGATTGGATAAAGGTGTCTGTGCTACTGTGTGGGTATAAATGCTGGAGATATGATCCTGGTAGGGTTGGGGTATAAATATTGGGGTATGTTCCTGGTATGGTGGGGTATATATACTGGGGTGTGTTCCTTGTATGGTGGAGGTATCATTTCTAGGGTATGATCCTGGTATGGTGGGGGTCCCAATGCTGGGATATGCTCCTGGTATGGTGGAGGTATCATTTCTGTGGTATGTTCCTGGTAAGGTGGGGTTATAAATGTTGGGGTATGTTCTTGGTATGATGGGGGTATAATTTATGGGTTATGTTCCTGATATGGTGGAGGTATAAATGTTGGTGCATGTTCCTAGTATGGTGGAGGTATAAATGATGGGGTGTGTTCCTTGTATGGTGGGGGTATAATTTCTTTCGTTATGTTCCTGGTATGGTATGGGTATAAATGTTCGGTGCGTCCCTGGTATGGTTGAGGTATAATTTCTGGGGTATGTTCCTGGTATAGTGGGGGTATAATTTCTGGGGTATGATCCTGGTATGTTAGGGGTATGGATGCTGGGGTATGTTCCTGGTATAGTGGGGGTATAATTTCTGGGGTATGATCCTGGTATGGTGGGGTATCAGTGTTGGGGTATGTTCCTGGTCTGGTGGGGGTATAATTTATGGGGTATGTTCCTGGTATGGTGGGAGTATAAATATTGGGGTATGTTCCTGGTATGGTGGGGGTATAAATGCTGGGGTATGATCCTGGTATGTTAGGGGTATGGATGCTGGGGTATGTTCCTGGTATGGTGGGGGTATAATTTCTGGGGTATCTTCCTGATCCTTATGCAATTATTACTCAACATTTAACCCTTTACTAACATGATCGTAGCGACCAGAAAGTTAGAACGCGGCCTTACATTTTCTCTCTTTCATCCATAGAGCTGGACTCTGGACCTCATCACGCGTATTGGGCTTTCAATCTCGATCGTCTGCCTGGCATTGGCCATCATGACCTTTTGCTGTTGCCGAATTCTGCACGGAACGCGGAACACCATCCACATCCACCTGTGTGTTTCCCTTCTGCTTGGCCACTGCATCTTTCTAATTGGCATCGAAGCTTATACCAACCCGGTGAGCTGCTTTACCACTTATGGATTTTATGGATCAAAACATTTCCAGGAGAGGTCACATATTCGCTCTCCGTGTCCCGAGTCTCCTGCCTCCCCTTCGTTCCATGGTGCAGCCTCCTTCAATGTCTTCATCACTCAACACTTCCGGGAGTGTCAGATGATTGTATCTCCTGCCGCCTACTGTGGTCACTGCTGAGTCCAGAGGATGGAACCACGAGGCACGTTGGAGAACACTCCCAGAAGAGTTGACTCATGAAGACACGGATGGAGGCTGTGGTCAGTGATACAGAGAGTAGGAGACATGGGCTGTCAGAGGAGTGAGCTTACCACCGTTTCTCTTGAAGGGAATTCCTTGTGATACCCCGGCCCACAGATAGTATCACGTACCTGACTGGAGACTCAGCTGAGAAGGGGGCTGCCCGTGCACCTCTCGTCCCACACCTCTGGAAGTGGTGACAGGGGATGTAAGGACAGAGTGGGGCACAGGTGCCAATACAGGTGGGTGGCCGGTTCTTGAGGAGACGCTTTAGTGCGTTGGACCAGCTAGTGAATCGGCAGGACCGGGATGACACCGGGACCTCTTGAAACCTGAGCAGACAACGGATATGAGGCCAAGGAAGCACTGGCAGGATGTCGTTGCTCAGGGGGTTGATGGAGCGATCCACCAAGAGGCAGACCAGGAGGGAAGTCAGGTTCAAGCCGAGGTCATACACAGGGAGCTGAATCTTGAGGTGCCTAATCACAGATCAGGAGCATGGTCAGGAGACGTACGCCAGGGTCATACACAGATGATCAGAGAGCAGAGGTACCGAATCAGGAGGAGGAGGCGGAGTCAAATGGTCACAAGCCAGGTTCATACACAGGAGATCAGAGAGCAGAGGTACCGAATCAGGAGGAGGAGGCGGAGTCAAATGGTCACAAGCCAGGTTCATACACAGGAGATCAGAGAGCAGAGGTACCGAATCAGGAGGAGGAGGCGGAGTCAAATGGTCACAAGCCAGGTTCATACACAGGAGATCAGAGAGCAGAGGTACCGAATCAGGAGGAGGAGGCGGAGTCAAATGGTCACAAGCCAGGTTCATACACAGGAGATCAGAGAGCAGAGGTACCGAATCAGGAGGAGGAGGCGGAGTCAAATGGTCACAAGCCAGGTTCATACACAGGAACAAAGTACAGGGCACACAGGGACTAGCTGAAGACCACTCAGCAACTTGGTCATGGCTTCATGTCTGTTTATACATGATCGTGTGTGAGCTAATGAGCGTGATCCTGTACGCTAATGAGCGCGCTTCTGCATGCTCACGTGCGCTATTCCCGTACACGCGCGTTCACGTGCTAAATCGCGTTTTCCAAGAGCTTTAAGCAATGAATTGCATACTTGTGTGTGTGCACATTTTTGAGCAGGAGTCCATCTGCAGGTAAGCCTCTTACAGATAGCTGCCTCTTAAAATCTAGATTCTGCCTGCTTTTAGTCCACCCCGAGGCTCCACCTCTCCACCAACACATTGTTTTTTAATTGATTGTAGTTGCTCCATTTGTATCGTTGTGTTCAATTGTGACGCGTCATTTACCCCAGGTGGTGTGTGGAATAGTGGCCGGGCTCCTGCACTTCTTCTACCTCTCTGCTTTCTGCTGGATGTCCCTGGAAGGGTTGGAACTCTACCTGATGCTTGTCGAGGTCTTCAAAACCCAAGTGAAGACAAGATACCTGCTGGCGATGGGCTATGGAGTGCCGATCGTGATCATCACCATTAGCGCAGCAGTGGTCCCCGAGGGATACGGGACTGAGACACAGTAAGTGGGCGTGGTTCAGAGATTTGCTGCAACAGGAACATTGAAAAGAATATTTGCAATGAGGTTGTGAAATGTTATGGAGGAAGGTCATCTTAAAAGATGTGACAGTGGTGACTCGTATATGATAGAGAACAGGGACATGCGGTCAGGGGGGGCAGAGCCTCACCTAGTATTATGGAGGAAAAAGCTGTCAGCTTCAAGTCTGAAGCTGACAGCTTTTTCTCCATTCAGATCGGCTTCTATCAGGCTACATTTCAGGGAAATCCTCCCCGCTGTGTAACCTGTCATGGGCGGAGCGCTGTGTGTTAATTACAGGCGGCGCTGCATCCGGCTTTTGAAAGCTAGTTAGGTTACACAGCAGCGGGCTTCCCCACTGCTTGTGTAACCTAACTATTGAGGCAAGAGCTGTCACAGCCTCTACTTTGTGTTAGAGGCGTGACCTCTGTGGATGGCTTGGACCAATGGCAAAGCGCTATTGTGCCCAAGCTGTCCAATCAAAAAAAGAAAAAAAAAAACCCTGAGGCCATCGATCTCGATGCCTCAGCAGTGACGAGCAAGTGACGGACGGGGAAGCTCCTCCCTGTCTCCTCCCTTCCTCCTTCACACTAGCTTGGGGTGGGGCTTTGGACAGTGGGGGCGGGACGTGCTGGGGGCAAGGCTGGGAAATGCCTCACCCGGAACCAGAGGTACTGCACGTCACTGATAAAGAAGGTTGGTTGCACTCCTTACCGGAGAAGCCCCATATTCGGGGAAGGGTGCTTGAAATGACTGCGGATGGCGCCGCAAGTTGCACCTGGTATAAGAGGCCCCAATGGGCATAGCATAGCAATGATGTCATCGCTATGCCTGATGAAGGGACACTGTGCGGCCCCGATAGCGCTTGTGTTTTTGACATGAGTTTTATATAAATCCACCATTGATTATCCTTGAAGGAACTTGGTGTGCTGGCGACATTTCTCTTATACCAAGCGGTGACTCCTATGTCTCGAATCCTTTCACATGTTGTAAGTATAGGGATTCCATTATTGGTATTTGTAAAAAATAAATCAAGCCAACTAAACTTGCTGTATTTTTCTGGAAGACGTTTTGCTGGTCGTCCGGCTAGTTTTCCCGACAGAGTGCAACACACTTTACACATGTTGGTGCGACACACCTTGCCAACAGACGTGCCTTGTGCTCCCTGGACAGAAGTTCTACACACACCTGTTTTGATGCACTGGGCAGCCCATTTAAATGGATAGGCTGCCTCAACGCAAAAAGGCACATTATCGCACGGCATAACGCATGTTAACACGGCACAATAGACTAAGTAATCCCTTCGTCCCAATGCGAGACACCAGTGCTCTGTAGCCTCTCTTGATGCCCAGACTCATAGGCCTCATCTTTCTGGTTTAGAAGATGGTATAGCCTGGCAGGGATTGTTCTAAAGCACAATACGGGGGGCAAGGGGGAGAGACTGAGGAGAGAATTAATGATAGATTAGGTAAATTACAATTGTCCTTTTTTTCTGTGTTTGCAGTTGCTGGTTGTCTATTAAACGCAATTTTATCTGGAGCTTCATGGGCCCTGTGTGTGCCATTATCCTGGTAAGTGTCGGGTATTCCCAATGTCTTATTTGCAGCCCCACCAAATGAAGTCATACAGTTTGTATAAAACATACCGACCTCCATAATAAAATGCTCAATATTAGATCAGATGGACCACTCTTCCCTTAGTGCCACGTACCTGGATGGAGACTGAATGTGGGAGGAGGCTTCCCTTGCACCTCGTGTGCCAAAGACTCTGGACTTGGGAACAGAGTGTGAGTGGACAGCGAGTGGCACAGGTGCCAGTGGTGATCACGCCATGCATGCTGGAGTTCTGGCACTGGATCGGGTCAAGCTGAGCTGTAGTCAAAACCAGGCAGGCAGCGGAGTGCAGAGCAGGATCCAAGGATACTGGTGATATCATTGACCTTGTATGGCCACATGGCCATATTTGGCCAATGATGTTAGCAGCTCCCCACCCCATTTGCCATATGGCCATATTTGGTCAATTAAATTACAATCCGGGGTTCCAGATAAGGTGCCAATGATTAGAATCTCCTTATGGAGAATGTGGGTGGAACCGGTCTTATGAAACCTCAGATATGTAGGATCTGGTGCTCTCTTTGCTACAGATGTGTGGTGTCCTCATGCCAAGATCAATAGAGCTTTCTAAGGTTCTCAGAAAGAAAGTTCTGGATACCTTTGATTCTGGAAAGGGTCTTTAAAAAAAAAGTCAAAATGATTTGAAATCAACCATTTCCCTGTAAAATAATCTGCAAATGGTGTAGATTTTAATGTCCGGGACTGAGCAGCTGGACTACTTCAAATGACTATATCTGCATTCAGCTTTAAGTATATGGAAGCCACCTGAGTGCATCTGAGCCATCAGCATCTCAACCCTTTATTTTACATGCAGCTGCGGGTCTGAGAATGCCCTGGCCACGGCTAATTGGGATGCCACTGACAACTTCCTTCTGGGTTCAGATGAACTGAAGTTGGGACTGAACCTGAGCTCATTCTTACTCCCCAGTGGTGATACAGAGTGAAAATGGCTTAGAACCATTATCAAAAACCCCAAAAAATGTTTTTACTTTTAGATACACGTAATTCCCATTATGATTTGCTTTTTATTCTCTGGGGCTCTGTGGGTGAGATCACCTGAACTCCCGGGTCTGCACACCCATTCTCCTTGCCAAAATTTGTAATAATGAGCAATGCAACAGAAGGTCTGAAACACACAAAGATGGACGGACACACCCAAATCTCCCAGGCAGACAGAATTATGGGGTATATGGAGGTCTCAATGTTGGAGTAACCAAGATATACGTTGTATGAGAAGTCAGGGGCTGACTCGGCCCACCAATCTGTACCAATAACTCAAATATCACTATGGGATGTACTGACGCTTTCAAACCCTGAGAGCAAAAACAGAGCTTTCCATGGTCACCCGCAGCCCATTATAAATATCTTTCTTCTGTTCAGGTGAATTGTGGAATTTTTGTATTGACTGTATATAAACTGGCTGAGAAAATGACAACGATCAACCCCGAGCAAGGCAAATTAAAAAGATTAAGGTAAACCTCTGTTACTATATGTATGATGGACAATTTGTAATGTTACTTTGTATATTCCCTGTGTGCTAAAGGTTGATATGAGTCCGTGGATGCTATGCAGGGCAGCCGTCAGAAATTTTGGGGCCCCTTACACGGCTTTAGGCCGCCCCCCCACCGCTGGACACGGGCTTAGTGACGCGCTGGACGCAGGGCTTAGCGATGCGCTGGACACAGGACCCACCTGAGAGTGATCCTGCAGAGCCCACCATAGATGCTGCACAGCCCATCTGAGACTGTCTATGGTGGGCTCTGAAGGGGTCTCAGGTGGGCTGGTCAGGGCTGCATCCCTCCCCTCCCTCCTTTCCTTCCTACCGTACCAGCTCCTCTTACCTGCACACGTGGCCTCGTCTGCCACCGGACTAACGTGACGTCACTTCCGGCCAGTACGACATCAGACGAGCAGCATCGCTGATGGGGCCCCAGCTTGTCTCGAAGCTGCTGGAGCGGCAATGCTGGGGCCCTGCGCTGCTAGGTCCCCTTCACCGCCGGCCGAGAGTCATGTAAGGGACCCGGGCAGGGCCCCCCAGAGCCCCATACATGAGTATCGACTGTACCCCCCTGATGCTATGAGACTGTCATAGGTTAGAGATAGGACCGCACTATACACAGGTGCCTTGGCGCGGCTGTGCCGCTTTCACATTTTCTGCAGAAGACGTGTATCTAAACCTCTGTTTTTAACCCTTACCGGTTAGACAGGTTTTTTTTTTTGCATGCTGGCTGGTGAGTGCGCTGGGAAACCTTTTGCTGTTGTATTGCTTAAAGCCCTTCCATGTGCACCTTGCTTGAAAGCTGGTTGTGAGTTGATGAGTGTGTTTGCCATTTGTTTTGCTCGACTGATTGTTTTGCTTCCCACATCAGGCACTTGCCTGAGATAAGTGCCATCAATAGGAATGCAGAGGAGGGGGCCAGTCAAATAGCTTGACAGTAAAAAAACCTTTTTCAAGACAGGCTTGTTCACAATAGAGCTCTACATACACAGCACCATAACAACCAATGGCACTGTGCGGCCGTGCGGTCATGCCACCCACTGGATGGAAATGCATGACTCTGTATGACCCGGCTGCCTGCATCTGCCCAACCAATGACGCTGGATCACCAGGTGTCGGATCCAGCTGTGCCAAAGAGAGGGTGGAACGGGAACTGAGTTCTGGAGCAAATTGCCCCTAAAAAATACCGCAGTGTAGGAATTTAAAAGTTATGTCAACAGAATATTTCATTTACCACAACCTGAAATCCATTAAATTCGGTTCTGCAGATAAGGTACCAATAATTAGAACCTTATTATGGAGTATGCTGGTGGAGGCGGTCTTATTTAAAGGAGAACTATGGGGTTAAGGCTTTTCCCCTTAGTTCTACGTAGGGTAATGGGAGGACACTAACTAGCGCCCTCCCGTGACCCTAGGCTCAGTATACTGAGACGCCGCAGTATACCGCGAGCTGCTGCTGGAGTGTCATCATGACAAGATCAGTAGAGCTATCTAAGGTTCTCAGAAAGAAAGTTCTGGATATCTTTGATTCAGGAAGGGGATTTTAAAACGTTTGCTAAATGATTTGGAATCAACCAATTCACTGTAAGGAAAATAATCTACAAGTGGTGTGGATTTCAATCGACTGCTAATGTGTCCTGAATTGGGCAACTGGACTCAGTATTTAAAATGACTAAATCTGCATTCAGCTTCAAGTCTATGGAAGCCACCATAGATAATTGATATTGATACCACAAGTGATACCAAATGACATGTTGGCAGATTGCCCTCTAACTGTTGATTCCTCTCCATTAGGACTTTGACGATAACCTCAGTAGCCCAGCTGTGCATTCTGGGCTGTTGTTGGGCATTTGGATTCCTCATGTTCGGCCAGGCATCCTTATTTTTTGCATACGCGTTCACCATCTGCAACATTCTGCAAGGAGTCCAGATCTTCTTCCTGCACTGCCTCATGAACAAAAAGGTGGGTAGAATATAAAAGGTGGCATGACTGATGGAAAAGCAGGGCGGGATTTCTGCAGAGCTGACATTAGCCAATGGGTGCAGCTCTTCACTCCTGGCCTTGGCATGACTTGTATAGCTATGGTGTCTAACCTTGGTTGGTGTGGTAGTAAGGCTTGGTAGTCTACGAGAAGGCAGCCGAAGACAGTTGGTCAAAGTGGACAAGTATAAATTCAACCTTGGTGAGAGGATAGATTACAATTATATACAGTATATACAGGTGAAACTCGAATAATTAGAATATCGTGCAAAGTTCATTTATTTCACTAATGCAACTTAAAAGGTGAAGCTAATATATGAGAGAGACTCATTACATGCAAAGCAAGATAGTTCAAGCCGTGATTTGTCATCATTGTGATGATTATGGCTTACAGCTCATGAAAACCCCAAGAACCCCAAATCCACAACCTCAGAAATGTAGAATATTACATGCAATCAGTAAAACAAGGATTGTACATAGAACATTATCGGACCTCTGACAAGTACAAGCATGCATATGTACTCAGTACTTGGTTTGGGCCCCTTTTGCAGCACTTACTGCAATTACTTTTGCACGATATTCTAATTATTCGAGTTTCACCTGTATAGCGCAAACATATTCCACAGCGCTGTACAACCATTTAGACAAGTAAGAAACACTAACAAACATCATTGACATACAGAAACAGTATTTCCATCTGACCACAGAAAATCTGCCGATAATTGTAAGGTGTATGGGCACCTTAAGTGGTAGGGGACCAAAGACAGAGTAGTTGGGAAGAGGAGACTACAGATGGAGGGACTTGGGAGTACTGTGAATCGGGAGCAGAAGGGAAGGTTGTATAAGGTGAGAAATCAAGGGGAGAGCTGATCTGCTTCTGAGTAGGAGCAGCGGGTGGTCAACAGTGTCAAAAGCAGCAGAAAGGTCAAGAAGAATATTATTATTATAAAGGATTTATAGAGCGCCAACAGTTTGTGCAGCGCTTTACAATATAAGGAAGACATTACAGTCACAATACAATACAAGGCAAGATGGTAAGGAGAGCCCTGCCCCTGGGGGCTTACAGTCTAAGAATACAAAGTGAATAATGTCCCTTAGATTTGGCGGTCACTGGGTCGTTAGTCACCTTGGTCATGGCAGTCTCTCTGTGGAGTGTTGTGGGCGAAAACCAGATTGTAGCGGGTCAAGTAGGGAGTTGGCGTTCAGGTAGTCTGTGAGTCGGGCATACACCAGTCTTTCAAGGAGTTTGGAGGCAAAGGGAAGAAGAGAGATGGGGCGATAGCTAGATACAGCTTCCGGGTCAAGATGGATAGAAGAACTTGGTGGACATAACAAAACTACAAAACCAATTTTATAGATGCACGCGAGGGTGATGTCACATGTGTGAATAATGTAGGCGTGTTTGCTTTTTGAAAACATTAACATGATCCTGTCCTTATCAAAGTAGAACTCCTGACAAACTCTTTGAGTTGAGTGGGACAGATTTCCTTTCAACTATAATGCACAACAGGGGCGTCCCGAGGCTGGGTGACACCCTGGGCGGTAACCGAGTGTCACCCCGCCAAGACGTCATCGTGCACACGCGTCAGTATTCTGATACCTGCCGGAGAGAGGAGGGGACAGTCACCCGACGGGATAAGGTATGCCGCCGGGTCCCCTCCTCTCTCCTGATACTGTCGGGCGTTCGGTCCATGACCGAGCACCCGACTTTTCAGAGGGGGGTGACACCAAAATGACTGTGAGTCATTTTGGTGTCACCCGGTGCGGGCCGCACCCCCCTTCTGACGCCACTGGGCACAATACATGTTCTACACAATTATTCTTGTACTGCATGGGGATTTAAGTTCCCTCATTTTCTGATCTCATTTTACCCTTGCTGGATCCTCAGGAGTTCAACATTGGGGCAGGAAGTGAGAGGAAAAACTCCCCGTCGAGGACAAAGACAACAATAAAAGTTCTAACCGCTTTACTAAAAAAAAGGTTTAAGCTGGAGTTAGGCTTTGAAGGACGACGGTTCTTTTAATGAAACCACCACCCACCCTGAATGCAGCCTCCCTGTTAAGATACTTACCCTCCTCCCCACTCCCAAGATCTTTCCAAGTGCCACACAGGTTTTGTAAAGAAAACACCCCATAGGGTCCTCTTTTTACTGCCTATGTGTGCCACAGCCACATTCATTCCTATGGATGAGATATACCCCACTGGATGGCTGAAGGTTGGCATTAGCATGGCTCAACCATAGGAATGAGTGGGGCCAGAGCACGCATGTGCAGTAGGAAGAGGGTTTGGTCGGGATGTTTTCATTGCAAAGGCAAGAATCGGGGCCAAAAAGTGAACGCCTCGGGAGAGAGGAGGAAGGTGTTATACCAGACAGACTACATTCAGGTTTTCTGATTTTTTTTGTGTGTGTTTTGCCCATTTATTTCATTTGGACCCAGTTGCCAGATGGATATGTGAAACCAGCACCTCACTGTAAAAGAAGAGCAATACATATCTCTTCGGCAGGTGGTGTGTTATAACTTTCTCAGAGAGCTCAGATCGTGGCTGCTTTCTGACACTTTATGGTGTGTCAGATATTGTATCCCCCCCCCCACTGGGTTCTGTGGTTTCTCCCGCCTACCCTTAGGTCATTGCTGTGTGCTGTAGTGACATGGAGGTAGGCTGGAGGAACCTCTGAGTGCAGCATGGGTCCAGGAGATAGACACTCCTGGAACTGTTGGCTTCAGAAGGCTTCCTTTTGAACAGATTGGCGTTCCTCAACACATGCAGAAGGAAAGGTATTTCCATTCTTCTAATGCAGGGTGTTATTTTTGATAGAGACAATGTAATAAATGGAGGTCTTTAAAATTCAGATTGTCCCAACGATCAGAGTTTGTTGTTGATTTGCCTGTTTAGTCTTTCAATGATGTCTCCATTTTTTTGCAGATTCGGGAAATATACGGCAACCTGATTTGTGCGATCGTCCATTTCAGATCTCCAGTCTACTCCGAATTCACCAACAGCAGCAATGTCAATACACAGAGCAGGGTAAGAGGAAGCCTTGTTGTCCTTTCATCCACATTCAAGGATTACTCCATTCATTACTCATTTGGAGAAGGTTATGGTTTATGAAGGTTACCTGTAGCACATAAAGAGCTAGAGCAGCCATTTTGAGTGCTGAACAATATTCTAGATGCATAACGTTTCTCTTTATTTCTGTGAAGTTTCTCAGTCATCCACTTGTACTGTTACGTTGACAACGTTTCGCTACTTATCCAAGTGGCTTCCACGGTTCTAACCAGTGTCAGGAACATACCCCAGCTTGAAGCCTGCCCCTACTTCACTAATTTGTCCTTCAGTAGCATATTGGCCAATGAAAGGAACCATTGCGCTTCGTGGAGGACAAGGAATTTAATACTCTAGGGAGAGGATTCTCCAGGCATCATCGCTCTTGCAGTGACGTGCGGCATTCAACCAGGAGCCCCCGCCCCCTATCGGACACAGCCCTGCCCCTGTCGAACAAAACTCCACCCCCAAGCTAGTGTAAAGGAGGAAGGGAGGAGACTCCCTGTCCCTCACTTGCTTGTCGCTGTTGAGGCATCAAGATTGATAACCTCAGTGGGTTTTTGTTTTTTTCTTTTTTTGATTGGACAGCTTGGACCAATGGTGTTTTGCCATCCACAGAGCTCCCGCCTCTATCACAGAGTAGAGGCTGTGACAGCTCTGGCTTCAATAGTTATGTTACACAAGCAGTGGGGAAGCCCGCTACCTGTCAAAAGCCGGATGCAGCACCGCCTGTAATTAACACTCAGCGCTCCGTCCATGACAGGTTACACAGCGGGGGGGGGTTTGGATTTCCCTACTATGTAACCTGTAACAAGCCGATCTGAATGGAGAAAAAGCTGTCAGCTTCAGACATGAAGCTGACAGCCTTTTCCTCTATAATTCTAAGTGAGGCTCTGCCCCACCTGCCTCCCCTGACCGCATGTCCCTGCACTCTTGGAGATCAGCGGCATGGGCAGGTAAGTATAATATCCATTATTTACGGGGGGAAACTTCTTCTACACTTTATTTTTTAACATATGCGCAGCAGCTCCATCTAGTAGGCAAAATGTAGTACATTATATATGTCAACCTGCAAAGACAATATATCTAAGAACTAGGGATGCACCGATACCAGTTTCTCGATATCGAGTAACGATATATATATTTTTTTGGTACTCGTCGATACCGAATACCGATACTGAATACATGTGTGAGGACTCGCCGCCCAGCTTCCTGATTAGCCAGGAAGCCAGCTCCATGCTCCTTCATCAGAAGGTGACAAGGAAGCATGGAGCCGGCTTTCTGGACAATCAGGAAGCTGGGAGCGGGTAATGACTTGCCACCCAGCTTCCTGATTGGTCGGGAAGCTGGCCAATCAGGAAGTCGGGCGGCGAGTCATTACATGCCACCCAGCTTCTTGACTGGCCAGGAAGCTGGCTCTATGCTCTCTCAGCACCAAGTGACGAGGGAGCATGAAGCCAGCTTCCTGATTGGACCACTAGGCCGGCTTCATGCTCCCTGGTAACAAGGCAGCATGGAGCCGGCTTCCTGGCCAATTAGGAAGCAGGGCCACGTGTAATGATACCGGAAGTTCCAGTATCGGAATAAGCATCCGGAGTATTTGAGCAAGTACGAGTACTCGCCCCAAATACTCGGTATCGGCACCAGTATTGGTATCGGTGCATCCCTACTTAGAACATTTGTTTTTGCATCTATTCGCACAGAATGAACATGTAGAAAGATCAATATGGTGAATGGCTCCGGTAATTGGTTATAAATAGACCCCTTAGTTTTCCATGTACTGTAATTACCTGGAAGCCGCAGTGCGTCTACTGCAGACATCAGCTCTACGTACTCAATGAGCAGAGGATCAACAGCAGCGGTGGTTAGATCCCTTTTGACCCGTCAGACATAGGAAAATCACAGTCAGAATCGGGGGCAGAGCGGGACCTGCCAGCAAGAACATAGTTCTGGAAAGGGCCCCCAACCGATGCTTGGATGGGTCCTTAAAACCAGATGCATCCTCCACCTGTATAGTAGCTGCCTTGTTACGGCCGGATCCACAGAGGGAAAGGACCACTTCATAGATACAAAGCGAGCAAGTGCTTAAGGGAAGAAAACAATCACCCTTCCTAGAGAAACAGTGGGAAGAGCAGGAGCAAGGGAAAAGTCTTTGTGGCCTTAGGAGCCCTATAAGACCCAAGACTGGAAATAGCACTGATAGAAGCAACAGGCTGATGCTTTGATTTCTGGGTGGTGTATACCACATCAATAAGAGCCGTCATAGTTTCCTTAAACTAGCAGTAGACTGAGACTCCTCAGAAGCAAGCTCATCCGACAAGGATTTTAGTGATTGTCTATGCAGCCGTTGGCTGAGAAGCCACTAAGGAAAGAGACTCCAAACATGAGAGGACATGATGACTTCAGACATCAGCAGGCGTGTTGCAAATGGCTCCTGACTTATTAGTGGAACGTGAGCTGAGGGCACCCAATACAGTGGGACCGTCCTCCCTCCAATGTCTAAAATGACATGTTCCATATTTGCAGTGTACAGGCTCAAGTACACACACAGAAGCCAGACAGCTGGTAGCAGAAAAGAGTTCTCCACCATAGAGTTGGATAGTCAGAGGTGACCAAAGTCACTGTAGGAAGGCAGCAGGAACAGAATGAAGGTCAAAGTGGCTCCTTTTGCAACAGGAGGAACAGGGGAGAGATGCTTGCTACATGCTACATGAAGGAAGAGAGATTGAGGTGAGCGCGCTTGCAAACACTCCACCCAGGGGAAGCCACAGTGGGTAACGGAATAATGGTGCACAGCAAATGAGGGAGCCCCCCGGTGCCCAGCCCAACCAGCCTATTCACAAAGCGAAGTCTTCTGAAGGTGCCCATACACCTTACAATTATCTGCAGATTTTCTGTGGTCAGATGGAATAAGTGCAACAGATTGGCCCAGGTGGAGATTACTCCATCCACAGTGTAGATGGAGGAATCTGTTGCATCTTTTCCATCTGACCACAGAACATCTGCAGATAATTGTAAGGTGTATGGCCAGCTTGAGACAAGGCAAAGGCAATACCAGCGGCTCTGGACCTGGAAAGTACTTCACAGCTAAGTTCATGAGAACGGAGTCTGGAAAGTGCCCCATGGGGAACCCAGTGCCAAAAGGTCACTTTCAGGCTAGCCCTGCAACGCCCAGTTGGGTCCGCATGCGCTATGGTCCAAAGGCCGCACTGAGGATGACCACATTGCATAGTTCGATTTGAAGGGGAAATCTCCAGACAGCAATGTAGAGAAGAGAATGAACATTCATAGAAATATCAGTTCCTTTAAAATCTGTCCAGTGGTGAGTGAAGTGTGACTACCATAGAGTGACCGCTCCCAAATGACGCGAGTTTCAGCTGCAGTAAGGAACACCAGGGACAGTGAGCGCTCGTCACCCCAGAGGATCACATAGATGTAGGAGATCCAAGGAAGTAAAACAAAGAAGTCCCAGAGGTCTCTGCTCTTAGCATAGTTCTCACTTCTGGCTTTATATGCAATTGGGATTGTAAAAAACATATATATAGCAGCAAAAAAGTGAGCCATTTCTCTGAACGACAAAGTAATACAAAGAGGTCAAAATGATTATTCAGCTTCAAAGTCCCTGAAAATATTTGCTTCTCCATTCCTGATGCCGCACATTCATGAGAATCCTTTCGGGGCAAAAAGATGAGTTCTATTGTTAGGGAACCCCCCTGGGATTCACTTTCTCCATGCTCCCCCACAATGCTCCCCCCAACCTTCCTCTTGGAATCCCGAGCCTAATCTGCGTCAGACCCATCTCGGTGCTCTCACACTGCAATGACATTTTCCTACCGTATTCTGCTGCCCTACGTGACCGTGTTCAGTCTGGTGGGTAGCCACTCAAGCCCTGTATCCTAGGAAGGAGGCGGCCGCAATCTTCTCCATTCCCGGAAGTCCTGGTATTTCCTAAGGCACCGGATGGAGCAGCTGGCGAGCGCAGCAGAGGTATCAATGGATACCCAAACAAGAGGACTCCTTAATTGGCAAAGTGATAGGTTCTCTTTAAACCAACAAACATCACTCCTTCCCACTACTTAGCAGTACAGCATCCCTGGAAATAGCTCCTTCTCATGCTTGACTCTGTAGTTCCCCTGTAGATATTTACACCCCCCTCCACTACCAGCTGAGCAGGAGGATAACCCTTTGGCTGGGTTCACACCTAGGCGTATTGAATATGCGCATTTGTCGCGTCGCGCGTTTTTACCGAGATTCGCGGTAAAAAAAACGCATGTTTCCGTGGGCTACTTGGCTGTATCCCAATGGAACCGCGAGACCAAAACGCCCCAAAGAAGTACATGTACTTCTTTGGGCGGCGTAGGCCGTTTTGTAGCGCGTTCAGATGGGCTGAAATACACCCAGGTGTGAACCATACCCATAGGAAATAATGGGATTTCTGTGTCTGAGCGTTTTGCAGAGCGTTCGAACGCGCTACAAAACGCCCAGGTGTGAACCAGGCCTTAAAAATGGGTCAGTTGGGCTGGATAGAGGTGGCATTTAGAATAGCTTGGAGATACGTTCCCCAAATTCCGCTCATTGCTAAACCTAAGTACCGGCGAGGGAAGGGGAACATTCAATAATGCTTTTCTCAGCAATGATGAGAACTCGCAGCATCTAGAATTCCCTTCTTGTATGATCCGCCTCTATATTTGTACCCGGTTCCCCCCACTGCCCTATATGATAGAACATGCATACAGAGCGAGGTATGGAGTTGCAAATACGTGAACGTGGTCTTTCCAAAAATAGAGGCGGAGAAGATACTTCAAAGTAACCTGTCCGTGACACTGGATATCTTAACCCCCTTAGTGATGGGAGAGTTTCTGGTCAGAAGGCCTGAAATTGGAGTCTCCCGTTTCTTACCTGCCCTAAAAAAATGCTAGTTGCCTGCCAGTCACACAGATACCCCATCATCAACACGGACCAAATATGCAAAATGTTGGCTTTTTTTCCCCACCCCAAAACCTAAATGAAGCCCTCAGGGCTGCTAATTACCTTCCTCATTCAGCTGCAGGAGTCATTTTCATATCTGGTGTACCTTCCAGAACAGCAATTACTGCAGGGGTT